GTCCGAGTGGCTGAGACAGCAATTGGATTTGCCTTTGACTTAGACACATGCTTAGGCTTACTAGGGGTTGCTGGGGGAGTTGATAGAGGCGTGTTTATACCAGGCGTGATGGTGTGTTTAAAGAGCTCAGCATTAAAAGTAGCCGAATTCCCTACGGAATTGAATATGCCGTGATGTGCAGATGCCGCAGTTGGTGTTGTAGAGGACTTATTCAGACTAACAGTAGGTGTCATTATCTTGGTGCTGGTTTTTGCCGGTTTTAATTTATTCAGTCTTCGCTGCAGGGATGTGATGTCTGGCGAAACGGAGCAGCGCCATTTACGGGAGAAGTCTCTAGTTAACTCCCTACTCGACAAGATAAAATCGACTTCTATTACGGAGAAAAGGGTAACTAGTATCGGCGCATTAAGGTTAAGCGAGCGAAGTCGCTTAGCTTGTGCGACACTGAAACTGAAGCCACAACTTAGTAGGAACACATGCGCTCCCTCCATAGCAGATAAGTGGCTCGGAATGTTTTGCAGTACGAAATTATGCTTGCGCTTAATTCTTTCCTCAGTTTCAGAACTTATTACCCCAATATGTTTAAAAGCTTGTTCAATTACTTTTTCAGAAGTGCTGTTTATGTCGCCATAAATCAGCTGATCGATTATTTCGCCGGCTGATGGCCTGCTACGACTAGCAGAGGCGTATTTTTGGAAGACTGAAGGGTCAAGAGGTTCTACATGTGCTAAAGGGATTTTTGAGTTAATCAGATATGCGGACGGCGAAGAACATACGCTGGCACCTGCTATGCCTTCAGTCACGATTTTAGCACCCAGAGACGGTGGGGAGGCCGCAAGGTTTCGCCGTTTAGCACATGCTCTGCGGGGCAATACAGACAGGAAAAGTTTCTCGTTACGGAAAATCGCACTTAATAGCAAGTGCTACTGTTATTTAACTACGAAAAATAGAAAGAGAGAGTAGGGAAAGGAGTCACGTGACTCAAAGGTTTTTTACAACATACGACTATTTTGCCAGACTGTCAAATAAAACTGAGAAAAATTATATCTTGTATTGAAAGGCGACTTTTAAAAGGGGCTCAAGTAAAAAAACAGGCATTAGTTGCCTAAGAATATCCAGATAAATGCAAAGCTTCACTTATCTTTGAAATTGACGTTAGATATTGTATGTACCGTTTTTAATAGGGGTTTCAAAGGCATTGCCTATTACCCTTAAAATATACTGACCTATACTGACCCGACCTAAATGCACGATACAGGTTAGAGACGTTTCTCACGTCCTTGGATTTAGGCCCATAGAATAAGCAGAATTACGCATTAGCAAAATATACTCTTTTAAATATTCGGTTCAACTGGCTCAAAGCTTTCGACGGAGTTTCCCCCTGATGACGGGATATACAAGATTCTTCTTGTGATCCACAGTTCAGTGGGTATACTCCAGAACTGAAAGTGACGGGCAGCCCTTCAGTCGCTCACGTACAATTAGGCTTTCTGTGAGCAATCCATTGTTAATTGGCTAGATTAAGGGACGACGTTCACCTGCTGAAACAGGGCTGAACGCCGAGCAGTATCGTAGATACCTACCACACGACCTTCGGACTTTCTGCGACCGATAGTTCATTTGAACTCAAAAACTAAGGTCTCACCGATTTGCATTTGAACCCATGGGCTCCCGAGTCAACAAAAGTACAAGTCTAAATTTCCCTTAAGTAAACTTAACTGAAACCTCACTGAGTAAACTATCTGATCCAACAGCCCTGCAGGGGACCTGCTACGTAATCATCATCTTTTTAGAAATGCCATTTGGAGGTACGAACTAGAGATCGGCGTTCAGATGAAGAAAGACGGGCAGATGTTCAAAACTTTTGCCATTTATAAGGCGAGGCTGAAAAACACAGTACTAGCCCTGCTGGTCGTGGTTATTTTTCAGTTTAGACATTTAAATTGCAAGTCATTAGCCGTCACTTGTAGCACATGAAGGTCCCTCATACTTTCCCATTTACATATGATTATACAAATTAACAATCCAAATGCAGATGCACTTACGGTTTACGTTCTGTTTTGTTTATCTATGTGCGACTAACGCTGGGAATATCTCCCCATAATTCAAGATTTGGCCGGTCTCTGTTTCGTTTTACAGCTTGAGTTGTAGAATTTATGTGGTTATGGGTCAAACGATTCTTCTGTTACGCACTTTCAAAGCCGTGTTTTTCTCACTTACCTGTCCAAAGCCGTATGATCCCAACACAGCCAAAGGAAACCTTGTTGTGAATTTATAAACTGGAGGAGGACATTAGGTATATCTAACCTAGAATGGGCTTCCGCTTGCATCTGCGGGGATATTCAAACGACGTTAAGGAGGCAAGGTCTTAAAAGCAATACCCAAGGGGAAAACTGACCTAATAGCGACTGAGCTCGGTAGTTCGACAAGTCGCATTCGCGTCAAAGTGAAAGTGGCCAGGATTTCGAAGTCAACTCGTGTGCTAGTTTGCCGATTGTCCAATCACTGTGCCACCTCTTGTGCACGCAAAAAGGCAAGAGCCCAGGGCCAATCGGCGACCTGTCTTGAAATGATTGTGCAAGGCGAGTTTCGACCAGCATTTTATTTACATAATGGTTAGATGTTTGGGAAAATCAGGCTAAATGATGTAAAGGGCAAAATGAACGTCGAGTGAAGGCGCCGAAATTTCAGATGCGTAGCAATTACGGGAAACTGCTAAACAGCCTATAAAAACTCAGCAAATTTTATACAAAAGGAACAAAAATACAAGCAGAAAACGAAAGAACCACAAGCACCGCCGGACCAGGAGCAAAAATTTGGGGAAAGGGTTAAACGTATACGCCTGTTTTCAATTTAGTGCCTGACAGAGGGCCACGCGGGACTTGCGCTAACTCAACAAACCAAGATCAGGGTATGGTCCGCTTTACGTAGGCTGGGCACATTCAAATAATTTTACACATGAGTGGGTTGGCGGTACGCCTAAGCGCCTGCTCACGCCGCACCGGCGATCGGCTCGGACAGTGACTGGGTGTCCAGGAGGGGAAAAAGGGAGTAGGGTCGACTCTGGGGACTCCGTGCCCACGATAGACATCGTGTATTCGTCCCTACAGACAATCTGGTGCGCTTTTGAGCCATCCTGGCGCCCCAAAAGCCGTAGCTTTGAAGACCGTCAACTGACAGGATAACTCGGCCCTCCTCTCAAGACTGAGAGTCAGGCTGCTATGGCCCCTACGTAATGTGACCTCTAGTGCGCTCTCACTCAGATGGGATTCAGGTCACCCACTTGTTGTTTTGGTGAAGGTCTGAACAGTCGTGTGTGTGGCTCGCGTAGACGGGTAGTTTAGCCTAATCGGCCATTGTGTCCGATCGCGCCTCCGGTCTATCAGACTCTACCCTGACG